TCTCCCTTGGCCATTGTAGTAAATGTGTGTAAACAAAGCGACTCACTCAGCCATTCTAAAACATATGCACTAAGGGACTTATAAACAGCATATTTTCACTCATTAAATCATTTTTAAAATGGGCCATGAATGGCAACTTAAAAGCGCTTAAGAAAATATTATTCATTCTGCAAAAGAGTTACTCTGGCCTAGAACACAAACTGGTCATCTGGGACTATCTGAAAACTGCAAGCAGGAAGCAGCCAGGGTCACTGCAGCTCCTCCCTCTAGAACAAGCCAAGCTGCTCAGGCTTGGCCAGACAAAGCCTAAGTCAAGGGCGGGACGTCCATTGGGACATTTGCAGCCTGGGCATGAGAAGTTTTTTTGTTTGTTTTGTTTTGTTTTGTTTTGTTTTTATTTAAACACAAAACCGAAAAACACACTTGCAGCAAAGCAAAAGAGCGTAGGTTGTGTTTTGGATCTTATCTGAAAACATTCATTCGGGGTTCTTGGTGATCTCCAGCCCCACAGCCCAAAGGCATTAGACTGTATTGAAGCTCAATGGTCTGAGAAGCTGCCTTTTGAATTAAAGTGCATCCAGTTCCTGAAGTCAGCACAGGAGGGTGTGGGGAGGGCATCTGTAACTAATCTGAAAATTCCATTTCGGATCCTGGACTCTGAGTATGTAAAAGCTGTCTGTACGATGCTTTCATATGGTGTAAGAGGGGGTCATTTTCCTAGGAGCTGCGTCCTGGGAGCAGAGCCCAGCTGAGGGACTTTACATCAGTGACCAGTGACTTGAAGTACAGAAAGGTTTAGGTGGGTGCTGAGAATGTGAAAACAATAACAACAAGAAGAACATACCTAAGTTACTCAGACCCTTACCGCCGAGGCAGTTCTAGAACCCCTCATTTTGCAAATGAAATGGAACCTCAGACCCCAGACCAGTGGATTTCAAAACAGAGGTGATTAGTGTCGGCAGAGGCAGTAATTTTTCACTTAGATGATCTCTAATTTTTGGTTTGGTTTATTCAGTGTATATGTAAGATAAAGTATGTTCATAGCTAGCTAGCTGCTCTATATGCATGAACGGTCCTGTGTTGAGGCACTCAGTCAAATAAACAGAGGGCAAATTCTCTAGCCAGGAAACCCGAGCCATGGCCAGTCTAGCCACAAGCTGAGAAAGACACGGAACTGGAGGTTGTTCTCGCAGTCTGCCTGGTCCTACTGTGCACACCTCAGATAGGCACAGTCCCAGTGCCCAAGACCTGTCAACACCAGTTTGGGCAGATGAATTTCCTGTTCTTGAATCGTCTTTCTTCGCTTTTTCTTTCTTCCTTCCTTTTTTTTTTCCTTTAGTAAATTTGCTTTTAAAACTTCTTCCTGTGGTGCAGGGGCTTGGGCCTACCTAGGCTCAGTGTGCCAGGCTTTGCTGACTCCCCATGGGAGACCTTGCTTTGGGGGATGTGGGGAATGTGGGGTGGCTTGGGAGGGAGGGCTGGGGGATGGGAGGAGGGAAGAGGTGGGATCTGTGGGTGGTATGTGGAGTGAGTAGAAAATTTCTTAATAAAGAAAAATGAAAACAAAACAAAACTTCTTCCTGGGGCTGGAGAGATGGTTCAGTGGTTAAGAGCACTGGATGCTCTTGTAGAGGACCCAGGTTCAATTCCCAGCACCCACATGGTGGCTCACAGCCTCCTGTAACTCTAGTTCCAGGAGATATGGAAGCCTTCTTCTGACCTCCATAGGGGACGAGGCACATATGTTGGGAATCTGTAGGCAAGACATTCATACAATAAAAATGAACATTAAAAATAACAATAATAAAATAAAACTTCTTCCTAAGAGAGCAAGCAAGCAAACAGACAAAGGTGGCCAAAAGGGGGCTCGTGCAGCCTGACTTTGAGTAGTGACAAATCAGAAGTCTCCATCTTGGGCTAAATCCACATCACAGCCATTCAAAAGTACACAATATGCATCTTCACGCATAAAGATATCAGTGGTCTAGAGATAGTGGGGGTCAAACAATCTATCTTATTTTGGAATTTTGAAATCATTTACATAAATGTGTTTATGGCATAAATACATGACTGATTTTTTTTTAAGATTCTTTTTAGGAGGTATAATTGTAAATGAACTTCTGTTCCTCCACATTGTTTGAATAATTTATCAAACACATTAGAAGTCCTATTTAGAAGACAAAATGTATTACAAATAATTTATAATATGGCCCTTGCCTTCAAACCTAGACATCTAAGGAAATTTTCCAACGTGAAGACATAAAGCTAAGCCAAAAGGCTTAGTATAACGAGGAAATGCTGTTGGAGAAAGAAACCACACAGCAGATAGAAGGCAACATCAGCGCTACAGTGAGCATCCTCAGAGGCTAAGAGGAAGCCCTGCACCCCCGAAATGAAATGGCATAAAAGGGGAACATGCATCCAGCAAGGAAAGAAGACTGTGACGGTTGAAAGGAAGACTGCAGGGAGACAGTGTCGGCAGTAGACAATAAAAGCTCAACACGAGGAAATGAGAGGGTCAACCCAGAGTAGCAAAAGAAACGAGAAAATTAGCAACTAGATAATAAAAGAAAGACTCTTAGAATGGACATCTATAAACCTGAAGGACGAAAGGCCTCAGAGGTCCCAGCGTAATTAATGAAAAGTGCCCACATCTGGAAATTTTAGACTACCAGAAATGAAGAGGAACGTTCTAATAATTTTCAAATGGGCAGGTCAGAGACCATGTGCATATGAATGATAGGGCATTAAAACACACTTGACTTCTCAGAGGCTACGCCAGGAGCTAGAAGACAATGAAGCGCTGGAAATGCTGCTGTTTGGTTTATAAGCCTGTAACCAGACCACCCTTCGGGGGGTGGAAGGGCAGGCAGAACCATTTTAAGAGCTGTGGGATATAAAAATAATTACCAACTCCACCCTTTTTCTTCAGGAACCTTGTCTATCTGCCTATCTCCCTGCCCCCACAGAAAAACAAGAAAGAAGAGTATAAACGCTTCAAGAAAATGGAGGATCAATGTAGGAAAGAGGCCAAGGGAGATCCCAGGACCATGGACCTCCAAACATCCCAGTCAGATGGCAGCAAGAAGGTCCAGGACCCAGGAGAGAGGTTTCGAAAGGGGAGAATGCTGGGGATGAGAACTGACAGTGTATCAGAGGATGCTGGTGATGGTGATGGTACTGAGAGATTAGAGCGTATC